GTAAATGAATATACAAAATAAATATGAAATCTTACATGTATTACTGTTTCAACACAGCACTAGTAAAATGTGTACATTTGCATAAATATTTGTGATAATAGTGTAAACATTCTCAAAAAAGTAGCAAAGACAATTCTTTTAAAATAAACTCCCAGGTTGTATGATTTGCATACAACTAAGAGGTAAATCCATGATAAATAATTTCTCTATGAAGTAACACTAGAACCTCTAATAATCTTGCAACCATGAATAACATGTTTTCAGAGCCATCACACTGAGTAATCTCAGGTAATTTCACTACTGAATGACATAATAATATGGTATACTTTAGACATCACTCATATTTTACCAGTCATTATCAGTAAAATCCTGAAATACCACGAGTTGAAATGGGTTAACATTAGATCATGATATAATCCTAAGCTTTTGTTAATTTTTTTCCAGCATCATTCAAGTATGTATTACTTCATGTTTTTATATAGAAAAAGAAGTGGTTCACTCTTATAATATTTTGGGCAAAATATTCTACACATCACTAAAAATTATACCAAAAAACAATAAAAACAATGCATATTTTGTAATATCTACCATTCTCTTTTTATCCGTTCTTGAACAGCTTATCTTGAAGTCAAAAGCTACTGATATATGCAATATTGAATTCCTTTTGACCAAATAAGTAACCATAAGTAGATAAATTTTCACATAATATCTTGAGAGGCTAACACTTAGACACTTAACAAACATCTCTAAATTCATCACGTAACAATTATTATATTGTCAAAGGAAAATAATTGTCTAACTTCAATGGATACACTACCCTTAGTAATGAGGGCATACTTTAGCATAAAGAAATAAAAAGAAAAGGTAATTTTTGTAACACAGAAAAATGCAAAACAAAAGTAATCACACCTAATAAACTAATAAAAACTCACAGAGGAACGCGGCCAATATAAACAAAATAAAAAGCAACAGAAAAGAAACTTCATTTGTCATAACCCTTTGAGATGCTTTTGAATCAAGATGCTAAAGCTAAAAAGAAAAAAGAAAATAGAGAAAAAGAGGAACTAAACTACATGTGGCTCTGACTACTGGATATTTAGGGATACATACTTGAACTGAAACTTCTAAAATAAAAAGTAAAGAAAATATAAGCCAGTTGCTTTTCTTTTCACCTTCATCAGAGAGAGAGAGAGAGAGAGAGAGAGAGAGAGAGAGAGAGAGAGAGAGAGAGAGAGAGAGAGAGAGAGAGAGAGAGAGAGAGAGAGAGAGAGAGAGAGAGAGAGAAGAGAGAGAGAGAGAGAGAGAGAGAGAGAGAGAGAGAGAGAGAGAGAGAGAGAAGAGAGAGAGAGAGAGAAGAGAGAGAGAGAGAGAGAGAGAGAGAGAGAGAGAGAGAGAGAGAGAGAGAGAGAGAGAGAGAGAGAGAGAGAGAGAGAAGAGAGAGAGAGAGAGAGAGAGAGAGAGAGAGAGAGAGAGAGAGAGAGAGAGAGAGAGAGAGAGAGAGAGAGAGACGAGAGAGAGAGAGAGAGAGAGAGAGAGAGAGAGAGAGAGAGAGAGAGAGAGAGAGAGAGAGAGAGAGAGAGAGAGAGAGAGAGAGAGAGAACAAAAATCAGAACGTTTGTTGGTTATAATGCCTACACGTCTTAAGTCAACATGCCAGCACTGAATTTTGCCTAATGGTAGCTCTGTACACTGACAAGTCTAGTGCTCTGAAGCTACATATACGAATATCAATGAGGTTTACATACAGGGTTTCACTGCACCTTGAAACTTTGTCCATAGTTCATGGTGCCAGGAATTCATGATTCAAGGGAATGGGAAAGGTTCAGAATCACATGTGGAAGATCAATCATCAGCTTTGCAACAGCCAAAGGTCAAGGTCACAGCACCTTGAAAGGCAGCCAGAGGGTCACCAGGCTGGAGGGTCACTACATCCTACTTACACAGTGGAGGGACAGCTCTGAGGCCGATGAGGTGCCAATAAGCTTGCTAACAGCTCCTGTAGGTGCTGACCACGACTGCACGGAGCAACAACGCACGGAGGAAGAAGATGCTGGTTAGGAACTACACGGAAAATCATTGGGAACTAGGTAGGGCTGGTTCAGTATTAGAAAAAAGCTGTGTATTGCAATGTGTTATAATGCTAGTACCTTCCTGAGGCAGATGGTTACACAAGGAAATCACAACTAAATGAGCTATGCACAAGGCCATAAGAGGAGTGCAGAGTAAGTGTTTAAATGTCTAAGTTTAGTGTAATATATCAGAGTTGTTAAGCTATAGTTAAATTAAGCTATAATCTTATTTGTTAAAAAATATTATCTTTTAAATATGACATTTGCTATATACATTCATATGTACATATATACAAACACACACATACACACACATACAATGCAAGACAAAGTATGCATAAACTGAATTATCATTTAGCAGGGTGGAAGTATTAGAAGCAAAAATGAAAGTAAGCTTCCCAAGAGTAATGTAAGTGTCCCATAAGAAAAAAAAAATATTGGGAACTTTTCCATTCTAAGAGGTCATTCAAAAAGCAGATGTTTTACTGAAGATAAATCAACATATTTGGATAAACTTGGATCTGTGAAAGAAGGTCAAAAGCCTTTCTAGTAAAATTTTATGTTTTAGAAAATACAATACATTAAATTCCTATAAACATTTTAAAACTCCACAGAACTGTATGTCACACAAACAGACCCATGCACCCATGAAGATGCACACACACACACACACACACACACACACACACACACACACACACACACACACACACACACACACACACACACACACACACACACACACACACACACACACACACACACGCAAAGTCATATATATGCTTAGGTAATATTGTTATACTGCTTCCTCTACTTTCAAAATCTACAAAATATACAGGGCCAGGAAGGACACTTGGGTAGTAAGAGAAGACTGAAGACAACAAATTCAAAGCAAACTGATATATTTTCCCTGCATTTGGACACTGAATAACAAACAAACTCATTGCACTTATCACTTGAAATCTGCCTGTTTTCTATCAGGATTATATCCCATTTAGCAATTAGTATAAAGAGCCTAGTACCTGTTACATTAGAAAAATACATATAAATAATATGGTACAGATATTATTATAGCAGTGGAGGAAAGCATTCCTTATAAAACAATTTAAACTCTGTATTCTTATGCTTCACTTGATTATTAGAAGTTATTAGAAAGTTCTTGAGTGGGCTCTATTACTGAAGAGATTTATACCTTGCACAGGCAGATTTAGTATAAATTTCCTGAAACGTAGAGTCTACACAATACAGAATTTATCATATAAATGCCACCTAGCAACATATTCATCATACATACATAAAAAAGAAAGACAGTAAAAAGAAAACAAGAAAAAAAGAAAAAGAAATGATACCAGGGATAATCAAAAAAATAATCTCATTTAGATCAAAATCATCTCAACATTTGTCAAAATCCTGTAGACACCTGAAAATAAATATGGTCTTGTGACACAGTCAGTGGCGTACCATCATCCATTACAAACTTTCTCAAATGAAAATATACAACTTCAGACCTGCCAAAAAATGACGATGAATAGTCACAAAAAATGGACAAAGAACAAAAATATCATAACAGATCTAAAAATGAGTATCTGTAAAACTTACATTTCTGTCTTTGTATCAGAAGCCAAGTTACTTTCAAACCCAAACATCTGAAGCTTAAAAATAATATAGGGGAGGAGGAAAGGGATTTCTTATGATTATGACAATGAGGTCATATTAATATATGAATTTATAGGATCCTATAAATGATTTTGGAAACAGGTATGTATTACAATAGAACAAAAAACTAAATTCCTATTCACAATGCCACATAAGGAGTTTTTAACAAGATGTTTCCAATTTGAATTCTGATGAAGAAAGTAGTTGTAGAAACATATGAATGTGTAATTAATGTTTTGGTATTACATTTTCATCCGCAAACCTGATGAAGATGTATTAGATATGAATTACAAAGTTGAGTTATCCATTCATATTCCCAACTTTTCTACATTTGTCATAATTCAACTGTTCTTCACCGTAGTAATGTATGAAAACCATTTCGCTACGAAAAAATTTAAAGCAACAATCTATTACTGATAGAAATATATTTTTTTGTGTGGTTATGAATAGAAATATGGAAATATAATAAAAAACACACAACTGTGTTAAAATCTCCTTCACTGTAAACTTTCAACATGCGCTAGTAACTATCACAGACACTATTCATTTTCATATCTCTGGTTTGCAAATATGGGAAAGAGTTAGCAGGGTAAAAACAAAAGGATACTTTTGAGAAAAATATACAGCTACTATAAAGTGAAAAGGATGATGAAAGATGATAAAGTAGGAGAATATATCAATCTAAAGCTAATTGTAATAACAGTAACAGTAACAATACACAGCATGATTGACAGAACACAAACAGCAACATGATCCTTACAATATATATCAACAGCAGTAACAATAACATAAAAATATCAAAATAGACAATGAGAGGGTTAACTAGAAATATATGCTTAGCAACAGTAAGATGAGAGCATAATTAAATGGTTTTAAAAAGACCTCAGTTTATAAAAAGAAATGGAAACAGGGAAAAAAGAAAGGAGAGGAAAATAAAGAACTTCCAAAGTAAATGCATATGAAGGGTAAAAGGGAAATATAAAGATGTAAAAAGGGGAAAATTCCATTAACAAAATCTGTGGGTCTTGAGTTTGAGGAGTCTGAACCGCAGAGAGAGTTTGCCTTGACGTTTCCGGGAGCTGCTAGGATATTTGAGGATGTTTGGAAAGAGTTGAGATATTAGAAAGATAAAAGCAAAACCTACATGCAGATCCTATAAAATGGATAATGATAATGATAAAAATGAAACTCTTATATATAAGCTTTTGTGATGCCTGTTACAAAACACTTCAGTTTTTACAATACAGATTATCTACATAGTCTACTGAGGGTATG